GATTGAATTGTGTTTTCAAATGTTCCTCCAGCTAGCTTCAGTACAGAACGCCGTACATATGTGAAGACGCATCGCTTATCTCCATGCGCGTTGCGCAGCAGCCTCTACCCATACAGTGGCGCGCCATTGGCCAGAATATGGGAGATATGGGAAAAAGACTGGAAATAAATGATTTGCATCGATATGTCCTGATGACAATTTTAAAGAAAACAAAAAAAGTGTTTGCATAAATTGAAGAATCATTTCCTATGTTGTGATTGAGAGGTTATGTTGGGGGAGGGGGGCGATGACAACTTCTTCATTGGCTCAAGGGGGCGATTCATTCAAAAAGGTTAAGAACCACTGGTTTACAGAACAGAAACAGAATAACAGAGTTGGAAGGGACCTTGGAGGTCTTCTAGTCCAACCCCCTGCTCAGGCAGGAAACCCTACACCGTTCCAGAGAAACGGTTGTTCAGTCTCTCCCATGTTGGAGCACCCATAACTTCTGGAGGCAAGCAGTTCCACTGGCTAATTGTTCTCACTGTTAGGAAATTCCTCCTTAGTTCTAGGTTGCTTCTCTCCTCGTTTAGTCTGTTGCTGAACAAGACCTTTAAGTGAGTTTTGCCCCATTTTACAACCTATCTTGCTGCAGTGGTTATATAAATCACTGCGGTTGTTAAGTTAGTAACACGGCTGTTAACCAAATCCGGCTTCTCAGACGGTCACAAAAGGGGGTCACGTGACCCCCGGGGACACTATACAACCATCATAAATATGAACCAGTTTCCAGGCGTCTGAGTGTTGATCACGTGACCACGGGGATGCTGCAACTGTCATAAGTCTGAAAAAAACAATCGTAAGTCGCTTTTTCCAGTGCCGTTGTAACTTCAAACAGTCACTAAACAAACCGTTAAGTCGAGAATTACCTATACCCGATTTTAAAGGACAGACGTGGGGGGAAAATCTGGTTTCCCTTTATGAACCTGGGTGTGGCTTCTTTGAAAACAAGATGGATGGACCAAGTGGGATGAAACGCAGCTCAGGTGAACCCTGCCTCTGGGCCATCAGATGTGTGAAAACAAACTTGGTTTGTTTTCGATTGACTCGAGAAGCCTCCGATGGAGCCAGCTGGCTTTGGAGTTTCACAGTCTGTTCCTTCCCTGGTCATTTGGCAAAATCTCCAGGTGCAAACCAGAGACACAAGCAGGAACCAGGAGAGGAAAAAACACTCCAGCCTAAACCTTGCAACAGGCAGTCTTCCAATCCAGCACTTCTTCATTCCTTCCAAGACACAAATGTTTGCCCACTTTACGCCGTCCTCTCTCACATAAGTGGTGAAATGCAAAAAGGGATTTTCTAACCCAGACACGTCAAACACAAGGCCCGGGGGTGGGGGGGCTGGATGTGGCCCGCAAAGTAGTTTCTCGTGGCCCGCGAAGCCATCCTGGAAACAGGGAGGAAATGGCCCCTGCTGCCTTGGCCCTGGCCTAGGCCAGCCAGGAGCCAATGTACAATTTTGTGGTGGCCATCTATGCTGAAATGCATTCAGTCTTAGCTCCACAAGGCCGTCCGGAAACAGCGAGGAACTGGCCCCTGCCACATCGGCCCAGCCCCCTGAGTGCATGCTGGGGAGGGGTCACCCTTTGTGAGGAATGAAGAAATGCACCATCGCCTGGAAGTGGCCAGCAAATGGCCCTGGCCTACTTCACATATCTGGCTTGATGGGTTCCAGGCTATCCTGGGGTCTCCCATCCTATTGCTAAGGAAGCTTTGGATACAAAGCCGGGTCTCCTCCCATGGAGAGGGAATGGGCCTCCCTCTGACTCTGACTTTGCCCTCGTACCCATCATGAGCAACCTGGCTAAGGAGAACAAGCACAACAGCAGCAGCCTTGAGGAGGAGGTAAGTGCAGTTGGGTACCCCCTTGGGGAAGTGGGGCTGGGCTTAGTGCCACGGGTGCTCGAGGGCTAGGCTGGGCATTTGACCTCTGCTGCCCAGGGCTCCGGGCAGCCCGCACCACCATCCAGCCCCCCCTCTGCATGGCCTGAGAGGAACAGTGAGTCTCCTCCAGTGGACCATGCCTTGGCGCTTGCCCCGGTCCCACCCCCTTCTGCCAGAGACCCTCAGATCTGTCCCACTCCTGCCCAGGCCCCCACGGGCACCCTTGACGCGAATGATGTAGAGCTGGCCACACCCACCCAGTAGGTCACACCCACTCCATCCACGCCCACCCAGTAGGCTGCACCCACCCTGGCCACACTCACCTGCCCCCCCCCCAGGGCAACCTCAATGCTGATGCGGCCCTCAATGAAATTGAGTTTGACACCCCTGTTCTAACCCATCTGGGGACATGGAACAATGCTAGAGCTGCTAATATTTCCTTCATTAGGAGACACACTATTGGGTTGATCAAGAGCACATGGCTTGGCTCACTTCCTTGAGTTATCTGCCCAACAAAAAAAAAGCAAAACCAAACCAGATTATTTCCTGCGTCGGAGCTGTGATGTAGAAAGCCACCTGAGCTAATACAGAAACACAAGATCTTACCCAGATAAAAGTATTCCTTGTGGTCACCGGGAATGTTTAAGTGATGTAACTGTTTTTAAGCGTATTATTTTCTCTCTTTGCACACTATCGTTTGCTTTTCATTCTTTTCAATTGGCAAACTCAAGGGGAGGGGAGGAAGGAAAATTCTGCTCCCATATATTTACTTGGCTTTTAATCTATATAAAAATGTGGTTTATGCGACTGAAGTGTTTAATAAAGAGATATTTCTTCAACTATTAATGTGTCCTCAATATTTTTTTTAAAGGCAACAGGACTCTCTAAACACTCAAAAAGACACACATCATTTTGTCACAGCAAAGAGGATACTCAGGATAACAAGACCATTAAAAAACCGAAGCATTAATTAAATGCAAACACACACATGCTACATAATAGGCCTCTTCAACAATTTTTTTTTAAAAAAGCATGATGCATTTCTTTCTGCCTAACTTTTTAATACAGTTGGATCTTATTTTGGGCGGAAGTGCAGCATCAACTAATGATGCTTTAAACATCATCCCAGCTCACTATTTCAATCAGACAGAAGAAACTGCAATGATATTACAAAATAATAATAATAATAATAAAATCTGTGTTTTCTGAAAATCAAACAGACAGAAGCTGCGAGAAATAATAACAATAATAACAATAATAAAATAATAAATTGCCAAACCTTTTTTTTTTAAAAAAAAAATCTGCACTTTCTAAAAGTCAAAAGACAGGTCTGAACCGTGTCTTAAATAAGCATTTCTGAAAAAATTATAATGCAGTTTGTGGGGGGGGGGAAGGGAAGGATCACCAAAGTCAACAACAAAAGGTTTTCACGTTGTGTGAACCAACAGCGGGAACCCCCAACTCTGTCGAACTGGGGGGGGGGAGACTGGTGGCTTGAGAAGGTTTTTTTTTTTTTAAAAAAAGAGCAATAGCAACATTTTGCTTCTAGTTGTGAAAACAATTAACAGCCTCTCTTCTCCATGGGAGTCAAACAGAGGCAAGGACTGCCAAGAAGGGGGGGGGGGGGGGAAAGCAATGCACACAAGCCTTTTAACATCCATCAGAATTTTCTCCCGCTTTGGCGACGGAAGACACAACGATGCTTACCTTCCCTCTAAGCTAAGGCAGCGTCACATTTGCACAATTCTTAACCCAACCCGTCCGTGGTAAGAAAAATAAATAAATAAATCTCCCCCAAAACTCGCCTCCCGCATTGCACTCAACCACCACCCCCCCCGAGACGGCCGACAAAGCAGACCGGCAACAGTTTTCCCAGCCATGCAAACCGGAGCTTTTTCGTTTGCGAAAAGTTTGCAAAAAAAAAAAAAGCTCACCACAACGGGGGATGCGTTCGCCTTATGTGTGCACGTCCCGTTTTTACTCTGGGCAACCGAGAAGCGGGACCCCAAAGCCCCCCCCCCTCCCCTCCTTCCGACCTTCCCCAGGCCCCCTCCCCAGTCATGCAACAAAAGAAGGAGGAGAAGAAGAAGAAGAAGAAGAGGAGGGGAGGTGGAGGAGGAGAAGAAGAAGAAGAGGAGGAGGAGAAGGAGAAGAAGAAGAGGAGGAGGAGGAGGAGAAGAAGAAAGAAAGAGAAGGAGGAGGAAGAATAAGGAGAAGGAGGAGGAGAAGTAGAAGAAGAGGAAGAGGAGGAGGAGGAGAAGGAGAAGGAGAAGAAGAAGAAGAAGAAGAAGAAGAAGAAGAAGAAGAAGAAGAAGAAGAAGAAGAGGAGGAGGAGGAGAGAAAGAAGAAGAGGAGGAGGAGAAGAGGAGGAGGAGGAGGAGGAGGAGGAGAAAGAAAGAGAAGGAGGAGGAGGAGGAAGAATAAGGAGAAGGAGGAGGAGAAGTAGAAGAAGAAGAGGAAGAGGAGGAGGAGGAGAAGAAAGAAAGAAAGAGAAGGAGGAGGAGGAAGAATAAGGAGGAGGAGGAGAAGTAGAAGAAGAAGAGGAAGAGGAGGAGGAGGAGAAGAAGAAGAAGAGGAGGAGGAGGAGAAGAAAGAAAGAGAAGGAGGAGGAGGAAGAATGAGGAGAAGGAGGAGAAGAAGAAGAAGAGGAAGAGGAGGAGGAGAAGGAGGAGGAGAAAGAAAGAGAAGGAGGAGGAGGAGAAAGAAGAAGGAGGAGGAGGAGGAAGAAGAAGAAGAAGAAGAAGGAGAAGAAGAAGAGGAGGAGGAGGAGAAAGAAAGAGAAGAAAGAGGAGGAGGAGAAAGAAGGAGGAGGAAGAAGAAGAAGAAGGAGAAGGAGGAGGAGGAGGAGGAGGAGGAGAAAGGAGGGGGGTCCTAAATCTCCAAAACCTCCCACTTTGCAATCCGGGCTTCTGTTTGCAAAAACAAAACCAAAAAAACCATTAAGAAAGTCAATAAAAATAAAAAAAAAATAAAAAGCCCAGAGGATGCTCAGCCCTTCGCTTGAATTTTCCCAGAGGAAGGAAAAAGATGCATCAATCAACAGCGAGCAAGTAGCAAGCAGGTAGACTGCAACTCACCATCCGAAGGCAGGGAGAGATTTCCCGAGCCGCTTTTAACTAAGAAGGAATTGGGGACAAACTCTTCTTCGGAGTCAGACTCCTGAGTTGGCTGGGCGACCCCGTTGCCTAGCAACCTTCTCTGGCTCTCATTGGCTGGCGGGGAGGGGGGCGGGGAGGGGGAGGGCTCCACGGGGGTGGAGGAGGCGGATGAACAATGCAAGGGGGGGCCTGTGGAACACACACACAAAAAAGAAAACACAAAACACAAGACAGAACATAAATAACAGAAAACTTGCAGCCAAACTGGAAAATAAAACACATAAGGGGAAATATAGATATATATATATTTATACACATACACACACAGATACGCACACACGCAAACTCGCACCTGTCTACACGGAGGAGACGCCAAAGCATGCACAGAGGTGGAAAAAAAAATTAAAAAATAAAAGACAACAAGGGGACAATCTTGCTTGCAAAGGAAAAGAGGCCATTGAGTTGTTGGAAGGAAACCCCTTTGCAAAGTTGCGTATACAAAAAAACGGGCTTTGCAACCTGTAGGATGCTCAGAGGGAGCTGCCAATCTCTCTGCAGGAAAAACGTATAAAAAAGTTTTTTAAGCCTGGATCTCAGATTGCTTTTGGGGGGGGGGGTTGTGTTTCTTTGTTTTGTGTTGTTTTTTTCCTCTTCCCCAGCTGACTAGGATGTCATTGAAGAGATCAACTAGGCAGTGATAAACAAACGAGGGTATTGAGGCTGGATTAAATCATACATCTGGGTGATTTCTAAGCCAACCAACCCATCGGTCCCTCTAAGGACAGGGCGAAGATTGCAACAGCGAGGAATCGCATGATGAAACTGGTTAGTAACAGGCGGGCAAAGATTTCAAACCAACTTCAGATAGGTGCCTTTCTTTCTTTTTAAGAGGCATCAGAGGAGAAAAGAAAGGAAAAGGAGAAGAAAAAATGGAAATTTCCCTGCTCTTTGTGGAGCGAGGTGGAATCTAGCTGCGTTCAGGTGTAACTTTAAACGAGGCTTTTAAACCGTGGACTGTCCTGGGCAGTACCCTAGTTTGAAAGTGAGGGGTTAAGCCAGGGGTAGGCAATCTTGGCTCTTTTATGACTCGTGGACTTCAACTCCCAGAATCCCTGAGCCAGTGTGGGGGAAACTTTGGCCCCTTCATGACTCGTGGACTTCAACTCCCAGAATTCCTGAGCCAGCATGGGGGAACTGTGGCCCCTTCATGACTTGTGGACTTCAACTCCCAGAATTCCTGAGCCAGCATGGGGGAAACTTTGGCCCCTTCATGACTCATGGACTTCAACTCCCAGAATTCCTGAGCCAGCATGGGAGAATCTTTGGCCCCTTCATGACCTGTGGACTTCAACTCCCAGAATTCCTGAGCCAGCATGAGGGAACTATGGACCCTTCATGACTCGTGGACTTCAACTCCCAGAATTCCTGAGCCAGCATGGGGGAACTGTGTCCCCTTCATTCTTGTGGACTTCAACTCCCAGAATTCCTGAGCCAGCATGGCTCAGCTTGGAAACCTCTTCCTTTCCCCTCAGCATGGCTGGCTCAGGAATTCTAGGTGTAGAAGTCCACGAGTCATAAAAGAGCCAAGGTTGCCTACCCCTGGGTTAAGCCAAAAGCCAGCAAACTCAGGATGGCTTTGTGTTATCTGGGAAACAGAGGATTTACTTTTTGGCAAGAAAAATGGGGGTGGATGGATGGGGGAGATGAAACCTAGTTTGTTTTATGGTCTACAAAACCATGATAGGCGGTGTCTCCTGAATGAAGGCCATCATAGGTCAATGCAGTTTACAAGGGCCTTCACACAATGGAAGAAAGCCAGTTATACTAGGCCTGATTAAGCCAGACTGGTCTGGGTTCACTTATCCAACTGAACCAGGAATCGTGGTTTGTGAAGGAGACACCGCATTCCAATGAAAGAAAAACAAGAGGAAACCTTTGGGCATTCTGCATGAAGTGCATCCGGGGGTCTTTTGATGTTGTGAACTCACAAACGTAGGGGGTGAGGTTTGATGCCTTTGACAAAGGTCAATCAATGATCTATTGACATGTCAATCAAATGCAAGAAACTAAAAAGTATAAGTAGCCTTTGACTTACGACCCAAATCAATCCCCAGCTAAGCAAGTTAGGTGAGGCATTTGCCCCATTTTATGACTTTTTTTTTAAACCACTGCTGTTAAACGAATCACTGGATTTGTTAAGCGAATCTCGCGTCCCCCCCGTCAAATTTGCATATTGGAAGCCACCTGGGAAGGTCACAAGGTGTGATCACATGATCCTGGTTTCAGAATCAGAATAACAAGAGTTGGAAGGGACCTTGGAGGTCATCTAGTCCAACCCCCCACCCAAGCAGGAGACCCTACACCATTTCTGACAGATGGCAGTCCAGTCTCTTCTTGAGAGCATAAAGACAGGCCAGTTGCCAAGTGCCAGTTTTCGGATCACGTGACCACGGGGATGCCACAACGGTCATACATGTGAAAACATGGCTGTTTTCCCTTTTTTTCCCCCAGGGCCGTTGCGGCTACGAACTGTCACTAAACGAATGGTTATAAGCCGAGGATTGCCTGCGCTATGCAATCTCAGGAAAACGTATCATCCCATTTTTGGGGGAGGGAACTGTAAACGGAAACAAATCGTCCGAGAAATGCGTGCCAGACTTGACAAGCCAAATTTCATCTGAGTTTCTAAGGCGTTGTTTAAAAAGTTTTAGGCCGGGATAAGCAAAACCATATGAGGAGCTGCAAAGGATCCTTTTCTAAACGACACACCCGGGGGCGGGGGGGGGGGAGAGAGAGAGAGAGGGAGGGAGGGAGGGAGGGAGAGAGAGAAAGGGAAAGGGAAAGGAAAAAAGGAAAGTTTGAAATCACAACAGCAATCAGAGTGGGATGTTTGGCAGGTTTCGCTTCTGTGGGTCTCTCCTTTTTCTCTCCTCTCTCTGTTCTCACACTCTCTTTGCTCTTTTTCTCCTCTCTTTCTCTCCTCTCTCTTCTTTTTCTCTCTTTCTCTCCTTTCTGTTCTCACTCTTCGCTCTTTTTCTCCTCTCTCTTCTCTGTTCTCTTAATGTTCTCTCTCTTTTTCTCCTCTCTTCTCTCACTTTCCTCTCTCTTCTCTCTCTCTTCCCTCTCTTTCCCCTCTCTTCTCTTTCTCTCCTCTCTCTTCTTTTTCTTTCTCTCCTCTCTGTTCTCACTCTCTTTGCTCTTTTTCTCCTCTCTCTGTTCTTTCACTCTTCTCTCTTTTTCTACTCTCTCTTCTCTTTCTCCTCTCTGTTCTTTTTCTCTTTCTCTCCTCTCTCTGTTTTCTCACTCTTTGCTCTTTTTCTCCTCTCTCTGTTCTCTTTCTCCCCTCTTTCTCCTCTCTCTTCTCTTTCTCTCCTCTCTCTTCTTTTTCTCTTTCTCTTCTCTCTCTGTTCTCACTCTCTTTGCTCTTTTTCTCCTCTCTCTCTCTCCTCTCTCTTCTTTTTCTTTCTCTCCTCTCTGTTCTCACTCTCTTTGCTCTTTTTCTCCTCTCTCTGTTCTTTCACTCTTCTCTCTTTTTCTCCTCTCTTCTCTCACTTTCCTCTCTCTTTCCTCTCTTTCCCCTCTCTTCTCTTTCTCTCCTCTCTCTTCTTTTTCTCTCTTTCTCTCCTCTCTCTTCTCACTCTTTGCTCTTTTTCTCCTCTCATTCTTCTCTCTCCTCTGTTCTCTCACTCTCTTCTTTTTCTCCTCTCTCTCTTCTCTCTTTCCTCTCTTCTTTCTTTCTCCCCTCTCTCTCTCCTCTCTCCTCTTTTTCCCCTCTTTCTCTCCTCTCTCCTCTCTCCCTCTCTCTCCTCTCTCCTCTCTCTCTCTCTTCTCCCTCTCTCTTTCCTTTGGAAAAAGATTTGCTAAGCTTCAGAGAATTCAAAGCTCACCTTTTTTCCTTTCTTATGTTGCTGGTCCCTGTCGTGATCGGGGCTTTGGGGGGGGGGAATCTCCCTCCCTGCTTTAAGTTGGGTTTGCTTGGGGGGGGGGAGAAAAAAAATTCTATCTTTTTTTCTTTTAGATGACTTTTTAGATGGTGACGCCTAGATGGGGCCACTTTCGGAGGAAGCTGAGGCGTTGAAACTCAATTCCTCCGTCTCGTGTTCAGAGGTGCCCTGTAATTCAGACACCCACGAGACCGAATCTCCTTTGCTCTAACTTCATCTGGACGGCAGCAATCGGATCTCTCCCCAGGGCCCTGCGTCTCATGGGCAAATAACACGCAGGTCGGCGAACCCTGCGGATAGAGTAGGATTCTGCAAGTTTCATTCGGCTGTTTTATAAAGAATAACCATGTTGAGCAGGTAAAAGCAGAAATAGAATAGGGATGGGATGGGATGGGATGGGATGGGATGGAATAGAATAGAAAATATGGAATGGAATGGAATAGAATAGAATAGAATAGAATAGAATAGAATAGAATAGAAAATATGGAATGCAATGGAATAGAATAGAATAGAATAGAAAATATGGAATGCAATGGAATAGAATAGAATAGATAGAATAGATAGATAGAATAGAAAATAGGGAATGCAAATGGAAATAGATAGAATAGAATAGAATAGAATAGAATAGAATGAATAGAATAGAATAGAAAATATGGAACGAGAATAGAATAGAATAGAATAGAATAGAATAGAAAATATGGAATGCAATGGAATAGAATAGAATAGAATAGAATAGAATAGAATAGATAAATGGAATGGAATAGAATAGAATGGAAAATAGAATAGAATAGAATGAATAGAATAGAATAGAATAGAATAGAATAGAAAATATGGAATGCAATGGAATAGAATGAATAGAATAGAATAGAATAGAATAGAAAATATGGAATGCAATGGAATAGAATAGAATAGAATAGAAAATATGGAATGCAATGGAATAGAATAGAATAGAATAGAATAGAATAGAATAGAAAATATGGAATGCAATGGAATAGAATAGAATAGAATAGAATAGAATAGAATAGAATAGAATAGAAAATATGGAATGCAATGGAATAGAATAGAATAGAATAGAATAGAATAGAATAGAATAGAATAGAATAGAATAGAAAATATGGAATGCAATGGAATAGAATAGAATAGAATAGAATAGAATAGAATAGAATAGAATAGAAAATATGGAATGCAATGGAATAGAATAGAATAGAATAGAATAGAATAGAATAGAAAATATGGAATGGAATG